GGTTTTTTTTTTTTTTCTTCCGAGACAGGGTTTCTCTGTAGCTTTGGAGCCTGTCGTGGAACTAGCTCTTGTAGACCAGGCTGGTCTCGAACTCACAGAGATCTGCTTGCCTATGCCTCCCGAGTGCTGGGATTAAAGGAGTGTGTCACCACCACCCGGCATTCTGTTTGTGTGTGTGTGTGTGTGTGAGTGTGTGTGTTTGTGTCTAGAATTTTTTCCCAAGCTCGCTCAGGTTTTATGTAGATGTAGCTACTTCATGTTGGGTGCCATTTTATAGGCAGAGATTGCTTGTTCATTTCCCAGTTGCCCAGACCCAAATAATAACACAGAAATTATATGAATTACAACATTGTTTGGCCAATAGCTTAGACATATTTCTAGCTAACTCTTATATCTAAAATTAACACATTTCTATTAATCAGTGTATCATTATGAGTCTGTGACTTACTGGAAAGGTTCTGGTAACCATGCATCTTTCTCCTTCAGTAGCTACATTGCATCTCCCTGACTCTACCTACTTTCTGTATCTCTGTTTGGATTTCTCTGCCTGTTTTTTCTCTACTAAGCCATTGGCCAAAACGGCCTTTTTAATAACCAATGGTAATGAAACATATGAAACATATTCATAGCATACAGAAGGGAATTCCACATTGCAGGGCAAGTGGGAGGGGGGGAGCTGAAGAAATGGATCCGTACTGACTACTCTTCCAGAGGATTCAGCATCAATTCTCAGCACATAAATGGTAGCTCACAGCTGTCTGTATCTCCAGTTACAGGGGATCTGGCACACCTACACAGGCATACATATATACATGCAAAATATCAATGAACATAAAAATAAGTAAAACTAAAAAAGTAAATAAATAAAAGACAGGGACTCTATTCTGTAGCTTGGGCTGTCCTGGAAGTAGTTCTGTTGACCAGGCTGGCTTTGAACTCACAGAGATCTACGTGCCTTTGTCTCCAGAATTCTGGGATGAAAGGCTTGGGGGTCACCATACCTGATAGTTTCAGTGTTTTGATAACAGAGCTGTAAAAAGACTGCTGTAACTGTTAAGATATACATTGTAATAAAAAAAAAACAAAGCAAAAGTAGAAGTTACATTGTTTTCCTTAAAGATATTTTCTAGCAAGGCTTAGGGCTCACACTCCTAATTCTAGCCCTGGGAGGTAGTTGCAATAAAATTAGTACATGTCAAAGCTAGCCTAGTCTACATAATGAGTTCCAGGCAAACCAGGGCTACATCATGAAACTTTGTCTCAAAAACTCAATAAACGAACAGGTCCAATACCCTTACTATGAAGCAAAATGAAAACCTAAACACTAAAGCACAGCAAAAACAAATAATACACCAAATACAAAGAAACTCTTTCCTTCTCAGTTGCCTATCAAGAAAATCCCCCCTCCCAAGTACTTCCAAATGAGAGGCTTCCTTGTCAGTTCTTCACTAGGCTTTCCTAGACCCTGGCTCAGTAATTCTCATTTCCTCCTTAGCTTTTCAATACTGTCAAACAGAACTTTTTATGTGTCCCCTTTAGCAGGCTTTTTTCTGGACCATCAATCAGCCCCCAGATCATGACACAGAGACTTATCTTTAGTTATGAATGCTTGGCCTATATTAAACTTGTTCCACTGGCTCTTATAACTTAAATTTTTTTTAATTGAATTCATGTTTAATAATTACAGGCACCGTGCCCCCCCTTTCCCCTGCCCAGGTAGCAGCAGGGGTGGTGCAGGGGCTGGGGCATATGCCCCCTCTTATAACTTAAATTAACCTGTTTCTCTTCATCTATGTTTTGCCTCAGGATTTTTTAAAAATATTTATTTATTTATTAGGTATACCATAGTCTGTCTGTCAGGCCAGAAGAGGGCACCAGACCCCATTACAGATGGTTGTGAGCCACTATGTGGTTGCTGGGAATTGAACTCAGGACCTTTGGTAGAGCAGGCAATGCTCTTAACCTCTGAGCCATCTCTCCAGCCCCTGCCTCAGGATTTTTTATGTTTTTTTTTTTTTATTCTGTATGTCCCACTCTATGTTGGACTATTTTGAGGCTGCCTGGCCCCGGACACTTCTTAGATCAATCATGTGCCTTAGGTCAGCAAGGGAAAACAGCTACAGGTCTTAACATAATTTAACAAATGTAGCATAAGGTAACACACCTTTCTTTACATAGTTAAGTAATATCTGCAACATAAACAAATGTAACACATCTTTACATAGTTAAATAGTCAACTAAAGTCCTGTTTCCACTTTTTAGTTTTCCTTCAATTGAAAGATTGCTTAGATCCTAGTTACCAGTTGTGGGTG